ATCACCTGGTTGTTGCTCCACACTGAAGAGCATCACCAGGATGTTGCTCCCCATTGCACGGAGGAGGAGACCCCCAGGAAGGGATGGGGATCCCGTTGGAGGAAAGGGAGGTCCACATGCCCATGTGTGTTGAAGGAGGGTGGAGAACATGCTCGTGTTGTCCTGTGGCTCTGCTTGTGGCCCTGCCATGGTGTCTGCCCTCCCTCGTGCGTGTCGGTGCTCGCGGTGCTGCTGGTTGCACGTTCCAGCCCTGGGCTGTGGCAGAGAGGTTGGGGGGGAGATATCAGTGCTGGGGTGCAGGACTGGGAGTGGGAACATGGTATTTGCACAAGTCCTTGGTCAGAGTCACGGGTGGCACATCCCTAGGGCTTTCCATCCTCCTCCAGGTATGATTCCTCTGGCAACTTCACTTTGAATTGCAGAAGGAATTTTCCAGGCTTAGCATCCAAGTGGTTTCTACACCTAGTTCTGAGTTTCCTCCACTGCCCACCCAATGGCAGAGTGACCCCCTTAGCCACTCCCACAGGCTCTGAAGGGGCTTCATGCAGTTATACAACTTCCCTGATCACACTGGAGCAGTTTCAGTAAAGCCAAACAGCCACAACTTCCTTTGTATTCACCGAGGGTTTTCCTTGGGGATCTGTGCACAACTCCTGCCAGAGCACAGGGCTAAACACTCCCTGAAAAAACACAGAGCAGGAAATGCTGGAGCAGCCCCTGACAGGTGGAGTAGGTAGAGTTGGTGATTTTGAAAGCACTGCAATGATTTTTTGCTCAGCTCCAGCCATGAGATGGAAAGCTCCAACATTTACCTGCTCTGCTGGGGAGTGTGAAAGGAAAATGGGATTCCCAGCAAGGGAGAGCTGCAGGGAGGAGGAGCAGCAGTGCTCCCCACACCCCCAGGCACATCCTATTTGGTGTCCAAACACCACTGAGTAACATCCTGAAGTGCTAAGATGCCACAGTTGGCAGCTGCTGCTGCTTCATAGCACCATTAAAGTTGGAAAACACCTCTAAGATCACCAAATCCAATCATACCCCAGCACTGCCAAGGCCACCACTAACCATGTTAGGGAGAAGTTTTTTCCTGTGAGGATGATGAGACACTGGCACAGGTTGCCCAGGGAGGATGTGGATGCTCCAGGGAGGTTATGGATGCTCCAAGGAGGTTGTGGCTGTCCCAACCCTGGCAATGTTTCATTCCAGGTTGGATAAAGCCTTGAGCAACCTGCTCTGGTGGGAGGTGTCCCTGCCCAGGGCTGGGAATTGGCACTAGATGATCTCTCAT